TATTGCAAAAATTGTTTTAATTTGCCAAACTTAAATTTTCAAAAAATGACTATTTCACAGTGATAACGTCTAACAAGATCTTTTTCTGATGTCTCCACAGGAACCCTTGTCAGGAAGTTAAATGGAATGGCACTTACTGTGGTGCCGGAGGCATTTTAAGAGGACTGATTGGCTGTAACTATGTATGGATGTAGTTTCTAAGCAGTCATTGAGCCCTGAATTGATCCACAGGCTGAACTAGGTTCGAGGGGGCTGTGAGAGCTGGGTGCCACGAGGTTACTCTGAAGTGCCCTCATCCCTGGAAGAGACACCTGGAGGAGCCTTGGGGAGCCCTTGGAAGCCCTGGAATCTGCTTGTCATAAGATCTTTTCCAGCAAGGTATTGGTATCAATAAGTTGCATTTACCATCTTAATGACTTCCTCAAATATAAAATCCACTGCATAAAACTCTGATTTTCATCCTTAGTTTTAAAATGTGAGTTGTTAAAGATCCCTATAGCTATGCCCATCAAAATATCATTTAAAAGTTATAATTCTCCAGCCCCTTCTGTGTGGCCCAAAGATCATCTACCTTGAGATTTCTTCACCAGATAGGGAGAAATGCCTCAAGCTGTCTTTCCTGCACAAATCTAGGAGCAGTTTTACGCAAAGATCAGTCTTCTTGCAGTTAAACGCTGGTCAAATAAAACAGTGTAACATGGAATCTAAGAGAAACAAATTACCTAAGACCTATTTCCTCTGGGGCACCAGGTTTCAGCCTTCCTTTCTCTTTGTGACCCCATGGACTGCAGCACGCCAGGCTTCCCTGTCCTCCACTATCTCCCAGAGTTTGCTCAAACTCAAGTCCATTGAGTCGGTGATGCCATCCCACCATCTCATCCTCTGTCGCCCCCTTCTCCTCCTACCCTCAGTCTTTCCCAGCATCAGGGTCTTTTCCAATGAGTTGGCTCTAGTGTGGGCCAATTTGAAAGCACTCAGTTTTGGGGGGGTCAGCTCATCCACTAGTGGAAATTATGCCATGTCTCATTTGTTTCTTTCATGTTCCCACAGCCTACTTTTCAAACTTGGCTATTGTAATTTACTCAGTTTGTATTGTACTTCTCTATAAGATATGTATATGTTAATATTTAAAATACTGCATTCCAAGTTCCATCAGCCAACATTTCTTAAATGACTATTTCAAAAGAAATAGAAGATGAAATCTCATCTTTTTTTAAAAAAAATTTGTTTATTTATTTGTCTCTGTTGGGTCTTAGATGTGGCACATGGGCTTAGTTGCCCCATGGCATGTGGGATCTTAATTCGCTGACTGGGGATTGAACCCACATCCCTTGCATTGGACGGTGGATTCTTAACCATTGGGCTACCAGGAAAGTCCCATGAAATCTCTTCTTAAAAAAGAAATACCTACTATTTAGAAAGACAGAGCATACCCAGATGGAATAATGAAGAAAATTTTTTGAACCAATAAATTGGCAAGTGCTAAAGAATAATTTGGAAAAAAAAAATGAATGATGTTCAAGGGGAACTAACTAGAAAAATGAACGGAACCAGGCAGGGTACTCAAAAAAGCTTCCAAAGGCCAGTAGGTGTATGAAAAGATGCTCAACATTGCTAATTATTAGAGAAATGCAAATCAAAACTGCTATTAGGTACCATCTCATACAGGTCAGAATGGCCATCATTAAGAAGTCTGAAAACAAAAAATGCTGGAGAAGGTATGGAGAAAAAGGAACCTTCCTACACTGTTGGTGAAAGTGTAAGTTGGTGCAAGCACTAGGAAAACAGTATGAAGGTAACTTAAAAAACTAAAAATAGAACTACCATATGATCCAGCAATCCCACTCTTGAGGAAAAAAACTAAATCCAGAAAATCCAGAAAAAAACTAAAAACAACAACAAACTAAAAACTGATCTTCAAAAAGATACATGCACTATTTACAGTAGCCAAGACATGAAAGCAACCTAAATGTCCACAGGCAGTTGAATAAATTAAAAAGATGTGTTTTATATATATATAGATAGATAGGAATACTACTTAGCCATGAAAAAGAATGCAATATTGCCTGAATTATTGCCATTTGCAGCAACATGGATGTACTTACAGACTATCATACTAAGTGAAGTAAATCAGAAAGACAAATACTACATGATATCACTTATATGTAGAACCTAAAATATGACACAAATGAACTTACTTATACAACAAAAACAGACTCAAAAACATAGAGAACAGACTTGTAGTTGTCAAGGGGACGGGAGCTGGGGGAGGAATGGATTGGGATTAGCAGATGCAAACTGTTGTATATAGAATGTATAAACAACAAGGCCCTACTGAATAGCACAGGGAGCCACATTCAATATCCTGTAACAAATCATAATGAAAAAGGATAGGAAAAAGAATATATACATATATATGAATCTCTGCTGTATAGCAGAAAGTAACACAACATTGTAAATCAACTCTACTTTAAAAAATTTTTTAAAAGGCTTCTGGGAAGCACTGAAATTTATTTTAGATTTTGACAAAGACAAATTTGGATTAGAAAAATGTTGTGAGGGTACATGTTAGACAAAGGAGATATTTGACTTTTATGCAAGAGAAGTTAAACACTTTATTTCAGATAATTGTAGAACCGTTAAAACAACTGGCTCATTCTTTTTCTCACGCTGTTAAGATATAAGATGAATAGAAAAATATATTTATCAAACAATCTATTGTATCTACTCCTCACTTCTAAACTATTGAAAATCCCACCTTCATTTTCTTTACAGAGCCCACTAATGCTGTAATATTGACTGCTTTTGTTTCTTCCCCTAGATGTTACTTGCTACATCTTTTTAAATCTAATTTATTTATATAATTTTTGGGTTACTTTTGTTAAATGATACAAAATAATCATAGACCAGGCAAAGTTTGCTCCCTATCTAACATCTGTGTTGTTTTTTTTCTTCTTCTCCTAAGTGGAAGAAACTTCCTTCTGAAATAATTTACTGCAGTCCCAAATGGCTGTTTATGGTCATTTTAGAGATAAAATTCCATAAATTCAAGTTAGCACTGACATTTTATAAGTGCTGTCATGTCAAGGCTGGGGAATGGAAACCATCTCACTGGGTTCTCTAAAGTGGAAGCATCTTTTGTCTGCTTGTTACTGACTGTGAGAAATGGCCGGATTAAAGCCTCCAAATGTTTCAGTGATGCAGAGCAAAGGTGACTTCCTGTTTTGGTTTAGGGTTTGTTTCCTTCTCTTCTCAATGAAGGCTGTGTTTTCTGACATTCTGCAATCTTTTTGCTCAGTGATTTCCCATTGAAAGGGCAGGGTAGGGGGGGTCTCTGCAGGTCATTCCATTTACAATGTGCCCTGAAAAGGGAGGAAGAGGGAGAGGGAGGGAAAGAGGAAGCTCATTAGTGGAAGGAGCACCAGGAGGGGATCTGTTTTCCATTTTCTGTCTGGATTGAGCTCATTTGGATGGAAAGGATTTTATTGTTATCCTTATCATCATTATCATTACCAGTGTGGTGTAATTTTCCTACACGTTTGTCTCAAGCGTGAGGTGAATTTATTGGTAGAAGAGTTAATAAGTGCCATTTTATATTAGTAAAATCAGGGGTGGGTGGGTGAGGGAAGCCCAAGTACTTTAAAGCAGTTTTCACTTTGAAGCTTAAAATGCAAAACTCAAAAGTTTTAATTCTGCAGTGCAAAAGAAAAAAATGAAAAGAAAAAAAGACCTGTTACTTGCTTCTCGTGGCCTATTAGTAATTATGTACAGCGTTTCTTCTCTTTTTATGAAAGGCGATTTCCGCCCACACCCCCACACCCCGCTACCCCGGTCCCCCACACCCCGCCACCACCTAGTTATTAAAAATGCAGACCTCTGTAGTCAGGAGTTCTGGATTGATAAGGCTCCATCATCGCTGCAGGGGTCCCTGTTTCTGACACTTGGACATTTTTCAAGTGACGTTGCTTAAGTCTTCCCCCTCAGGTCTTCCTGCAGAGCCGGTAATCACAGAGGCGAGGCTCGAAGTTGCTTAAAGAAAATACCTCCAGGGAGCGTGGGGCTCGGGTGGGTTCCCAAGTAGGGAAGTGGGGGCACTCCTTCGTGGAGATTTGGGGTGGGCTCTTCCGTGAGAGGCTGGGGGCTCTCCTTTGGAGCGGGGGGTAGGGGGTTGCGGTGCTCCCGGGTGTGGGTCGTCTCAAGTCCGCTCTGTCTCTGGTTATCGCATCCTTTCTGCTTTTGCAGACTTCTCCTTCCTCCGCCTCCAAACCACAGACCCCTTCCCGGGAAGGGGAGCTGGCGCTGGGGGCGGGGCTGCCTCTCGCTCCCGGAGGCAGGAAAGCGAAGAGCCGCGGATCCGAGGCGCAGACCTCCCGTCGCGGCTCCTCGGACGGGTCCCTTCCTGCCAGCGGCGGTCGCTGCAGCAGCCGCAGCTCACACCAAAGACTCGCAGCTGGGTCTTTTTGCTCAGCCTATCAGACTTGCAAACTCTTACTGCACCCTAGTCCTGCCTTAGGAGTCTTTGCCCTCTCGTCCCCCTCCTCCACCCCCCGTCCTCCTCCTCACTTGGGAGACTTTCATGCTTCTTTTAGCACCTTTTTGTAATCCAGGGGACGTGACTTCCCAGAGCTCCAACTACCTTAGCTGAATTCTACTTTTGTTTTTATTTCTCCCTCGGTTCCTCTTGTTTTCGTCTCATCTGCGAAGTCGGACGCTTCTGCCAGAGAGAGCGAGGAATTAAATAGATGCCGCGGCCCCAGAAGGCTTAGACGTCGGGAAAGAGCAGCCGGAGAGGCAGGAGCGGCAGGGGCGGCGGCGGCTGGCGCTCGGCGCAGCTTTTGGGACCCCATTGGGGGAATTTGATCCAAGGAAGCTGTGAGATTGCCGGGGGAGGAGAAGCTCTCATATCATTGTGTCCACTTCCAGGGTGGGAGGAGGAGACGGCGGAGCGGGCCTCTCGGCGTTCTCCGCACTGCTGCACCCTGCCCCATCCTGCCGAGATCATGGTCTGCGGCAGCCGGGGAGGGATGCTGCCTCTGCCAGCCGGGCTACTCGCCCTGGCTGCGCTCTGCCTGCTCCGCGCGCCCGGAGCTCGGGCGGCCGCCTGTGAGCCCGTCCGCATCCCCCTGTGCAAGTCCTTGCCCTGGAACATGACTAAGATGCCCAACCACCTGCACCACAGCACCCAGGCCAACGCCATCCTGGCCATCGAGCAGTTCGAGGGTCTGCTGGGCACCCACTGCAGCCCGGATCTGCTCTTCTTCCTCTGTGCTATGTACGCGCCCATCTGCACCATTGACTTCCAGCACGAGCCCATCAAGCCCTGCAAGTCTGTGTGCGAGCGGGCCCGGCAGGGCTGCGAGCCCATCCTCATCAAGTACCGCCACTCGTGGCCGGAAAGCCTGGCCTGCGAGGAGCTGCCCGTTTATGACCGCGGCGTATGCATCTCTCCGGAGGCCATCGTCACTGCCGACGGAGCCGGTGAGTCCGACGCTGCCCAGCCTGCCCCCTCGCCCCTGCTTCCAACCGCTCGCTTCTCGGAGTCCTTGTTACTCCCCTCTACTCTGGTTCTGTGGATTCGGATCACTTCGCTTCATCTCTGTCTTAATTACGCCTCTATCGAACACCGTGCCTTTTTTCTTTCTTTTCACCTCCCTTCTAAACCGATGCACTCCATTCTTATAGGCGATCTGTCTTTCTAAAACACTCAAGTTCATTCCACTCCCATCACACTTCTGCTCAACACTGCCCCTTCACTTCCACTCTTTACATGTCCTAGTAACCACATATAGGGTGCTGTTTTCCTACCTTAATTTGTTTATAATCACTGAACTTTTTTGCGTTCTCAGCCATCAGTTTTCTGTATCCCTTGTGTTTAGCTACTTGTAAAGACTGTGTGGTGAAAATAGAAGACTGAAGCACCGTTTTCTTCTTATCATTAAAAATGCCAATATAGCTTCAGTAACCTTACCCCAACCCACAGACGTTAGTGCTATGCGTTTGCTCAACATCCAATTTGAGCAATTACCTTCACCTTAAATTTCCCCCTCCTTTCAATGAGATAAATTGTTCTTCCATTCCAGACTGAAATAGCTGTGAAACATTGCTATGCACTGCTAATTAGCTTCTGAGACTTGCTCCAGCCACAGAACTGGTGAAGTGAAATTGCTGGGCTCTTTTCACATTCCCACATGCCTTCAAGTCATTTTGTAAATGACATATGGATGAAAGGAGTTATATTTAAGGCATGTTATCATCATACACTCATGTAATGTTATTTTTAATCTCACCCCTTATCCCACTCTTATGCTCTGCAAATAATTTGTCTTCAGTACCTTTCTCTGTGTGCATCAACCACAGATTCATTTCAATCTTTCCCTACTGTAAAACTTTATTACAGTTCTGTGTTAAATGGAATCAATCACGAGTTGTTTTCTCACTAGTGTTTGGTCTAATTAGGACAGTCATAACTCTATAAGACTCCAACTAAACCTAGTTCATTATGGTCCATTTAATTCTAACTCAATGTCATTCCTACCGATTACCCAAAACTGGAAAATTTCACCCTTCATATACTTTAAATATAAACCCAAGCTTTTATGACTGGTCCTCTTTCACACCCTCCCCAGATCAACTCTGTCCTTAGGTGTGATGACTTTATACCTCCTTCTCTATTCATTTCTTGGGCATCAACTTTTTCTTTTGCCTCTCAACTTGCTCAGCCTAAGCTCAAGTCCTTCTTCCATTCCTAGGTGAACAGTTCTTGGTCAAGGAATTGATTTGGAAAAAATGCTTTCTGTGCACAGTGACCCACTTAACACAAGAGGACTAGGGAGGGGAAAAGTACTTGTACAAATAGCTGCAAAACCAAACTGAAGAGAAAGATTTCCAGATTTTTTTTTATGGTCACCTCAGTTTATCACCTTTGACTACACCTATTGTTGTCTTGGTTTTAATAATCAACCAACAACTGATTGTTTAAAATAATCACAAAGAAATGTATTTCTTATTTATCTTTGGGCTAAAAGAGCACTTGAGCTTTTATACCCAGTAATGTTACAGGCTGTACAGATGCCGGGAGAGAGCTGCCCTGGTCTGTCAGGCACTTAGATCAGTTAAATGCAGACACTCTTCTCAGGCCAAGGGGTAGGAATGCGGTGGCCACGGTTCACACTGAAATGCATTCCTCCTCCTGCTCTGAAACCTCTCCTAGAGATGGACCTCAACTGAGAGAGGTTTGGCAAGGTTAGTGGCTCTCAAAAGCCATGGTCAGTATGGATAGGAAGCAGTTTCCTCAAGTGTCCCTGAGTTACCTATCGTCGTGGACCAAATGTAGAACAATTGCCTCATTGACGCACTCAAATAAGACATGCATGGAAACAATTTGTCAGTCCTTGGGACCTGATTACTAAGCTGCTTTAAAAGGCCATAATGTGCTTTGCTGACAGTTGCCCTTGCTAGAAAAAAAAAGTAGGGGTAGGTGGCAGTTGGAGCCGTTTGTTAGTGATGTTCTCCCTTCCCCTGACCGTATCCCTCAGTGGGAATCAGAGACGGTGGGGGCAGGAGGGAGCTGAAGGGGAGGGGGGAGGGAATGGAGTGGTGGATTCTAGCCTGAAGGGTCCCCTGGCTTCCAAGACTGCAGCTTGCTGAAAATTACATTCCCTAGGCTAGGTCAAACTATCAGGCACCTGGAATTACTTAAGAACTACCACATGTGGCCAGTTTAATTTACAATGCAATATGCGCCTTGCTTCAGTGGGATATGATAGTTCATGAAGCAGGGTTTTTTTTTTTTTCCCCTTCCTCTAAGTATAAACAGAGTTCCTATGTCTTATGCCTAGAATCTAGCAGAATATAAAAATGAGGTCTCCATGAATAAAATAGAACCACCTTTTACATACCTTCAATGTCAAGAGGATTTTCAAATCCTACCATTTACATAAATCTGTTCCCTTGTAGGATATTATGACTCCACCAACAAGTTCAAGGACATTTTACAAAGCAGAATTTTATTGAATGGAATATTGCTTCAGTCTACTTTTTGTTTTGAAGTATTAAGGACAAGCATATTTTTATACAGAAAATATAGTCTCTTGATGATTACTAATAAATTCACATTAAATTTATTCTTTTTCTACATTTTGTATTTATTCTAGACCTGTGACTGCATGTACACCTGCTTTATCTGTGAATTCAGTTCAATTTATTCATTCAGCCAGTTAATAGTCAAATATTTAATATTGTATGATGAATAAAGGGTATGGGCGTGGAGTGGGGAAGACCAGATGTTGAATCTTGACTCTGCCTCATATCAGCTATTTCTATAGGGCAGATGTATAGCTTCTCCAATGCAGAGTTTTCTGTGACATGGGGACATACTGTCTACATCCCACGGAGATGGTGAAGATGAAGTTAAACAGCATCTGTAGTGTCTCATGCATAGTTAGTCCTCAACAAATTGCTGCTGTTGCTATTGCTATTTTACCGTTATTATCATTGCTATTCAAATTTATTTTTTTGTTTGTTTTATTTGGACAAACCTAGTCTGTTGGTAAATGCAGATAGAGCTTAGAGCTTTTGTCAGTTCAACTCTGGGAAACAAACTTCACATTGAGAACTCACTGGGTAGGCCAATCTTATTTCTTCTGAATATAAACTTAGTATTTCATTTTACACAAATTGACCTGGACCTCGGGCTCAAGAACAAATCCCTTTGGGAGCAATAGGAATAAAGAATGAGCTTGACGGATGTCTGTTAATTACAAACAGTTTATCTCAGAAATGTAGACATTGAGTGTTTAAGAAAATGTATGGTATGATATTTCACAGCCGTTTATACTGCCCCCTGGGTTACCACGCCAAGGGCTTTATAATTGCTCCTCAGTTATTGCTGCTTTTTGCTGTCACCCAGCTCTTGCGCAGCACATTTCTCCCAGCCCTCTCTCGCCTGGCAGGGCTGTGCCAACTTTCACATGCATGCACTGCTGTTTAATAATTTCTCCACTTTCTGGGGAACAGGCAGCCTTTTCTTTAGCCCTGGTCTACAAATATTTGAGGGGCCAAGTAGCAAGAAGGGAGAATTATTTAGTGTGATATGAGGAGGAAAATGGAATGAAAAGGAGAAATGGAAATTTTAGGGTAAGACTTCATTGTGTGAAATTTTGAAAGGCACTCTGGATGGGAGTAGGAAGGAGTACCTTAGAATACAATGATATTAAATTATGTTTATAGCTAACACAGTTATCAGTGGTAATGGGATCTTAGGTAGTCTCCAAATTGTATATTAAGAATTCTTTTCTATCTTGTTTCCACAAAATTCTAAATAGTTGTTTGCTACACATAGCAAAATTGACTAAGTTATATTTGTCCTTTCTCCTCCTACTAGGTGTATGGAAAGAGGAGACCAATTACCACCATACAGATAGAGAGTTTTGAATGATTAAAAATTGGCTGTATGTCTTCAGTTTAAAGAAAACCAGTTTTAGAGTTTTGGCCCTTGGTTGGAATCCCAGATTTGCCATTAATGTTATACTTTGAGGGACTTCCCTGATGGTCCAGTGGTTAAGACTATGTGCTTCCACTGCAGAGGGCGTGGGTTCGATCCCTGGTCAGGGAGCTGCACGCTGCAGCCAAAAAAAAAAGTTATACCTTAAGCAAGTTTTGTGGCATTAACATAGAGACTGTGAAGAGTAAAAGAAATAGCGATATGAAGTGAATGAAAAAGGTGAAACAACAGCAGTGTGATTGGGAAGACATTCTCAGACCAGGAGTCGTTACTGGCCACTGTTAGAATAAGAACTAACAACGCTTAGTATTTGGCATGTGCTATTCTATGTGGGTGATGCATATTAATTTCTTTAATTTTAATAATAACTACATGGTAGGTACTATTACTCCTATCTGCAGAGAGGGAAGCTGAGGCATATAGAGAAGCTAAGTGAACCAAGTCCATAAAACTATTATTAGAAGATTCAAACCAGGACCTGTTCTAAGTTATACTGCTCTCTTATGAAGAAACAAGTGACGTTAACTATACAGAGAATTGGTGTCTTTTGACCATCAGAAGGGCTTTCATGATAGCTCAGTTGGTAAAGAATCTGCCTGTGAAGCAGGAGACCCTGGTTTGATTGAAGATCTGCTGGAGAAGGGATAGCCTACCCACTCCAGTATTCTTGGGCTTCCCTTGTAGCTCAGCTGGTAAAGAATCTGCCTGCAATGCAGGAGACCTGGTTCAATCCCTGGGTTGGGAAGATCCCCTCAAAAAGGGAAAGGCTACCCACTCCAGTATTTCAGCCTGGAGAATTCCGTGGATTGTATAGTCCATGAGGTTGCAAAGAGGCGGACACAACTGAGCGACTTTCACTTTGACCATCAGATTTCAGTTACAGTAGCACCTTTTTTTTCATTGTATTTTGATTTATGTGTGGCTTTAGAGAATAGAAGGCAGCTCTGGACAATGAATTCCAAGGAATGAGAGATAAGTACTTCTCTGCACTTCTGAGACAGGAGAGAACATACGTTCTGTTCTCTCCTGTCTATCCCTGAGTGCCTCGGTCTCTGCAGGCCCCAGAGTGAACTCCTCATGTCCTTCCCTTCACAGGTCTGTTCTCCTAGTATTTTCTATATTGTTAAGGGGCACACCCACTCATATTCCAGGTCTGAAGGCAGGCTTGCTTCCGCCTTTTCTTTATCCCCCACATTCAGTCGGTATCAGGTGCTTTAGGTCAACTCTGAATACAGTTCCCTCCCCTTCTTCTCTAATGCTGCTTTCGTTGTTCGGACCTCACCATTTCTTCCATGGATTGTGGAGCTAGAATGATAATTGGCTTGCTGACCTCCAGTATGGCCCCTCCATGTTCCAATAGGGTGATCATTCTGAAATTCAAAGCTGTCCTTTAAAATCTTCTGGTATGTGCCGCTAGCCTTCATGATCTCACGCCTTCTTGCCCCTCTGGTTTCCTTTCTGCCTATTTACCCTACTCCATTAGCCCCGTTGGAAGGCTTGTAGGTCCCTCCACCCCACGAGTGCTTTGGTTTCTCACCCCAGACTCTGGCACGTGCCGTTTTCTATTTGGAAAACCCTCTCTTCTTTTCCTAACTCCTTCTTAGAACTCTTCTTCTGGAAACCTCTATGACACCTACTTCAAATCCTTGGGGCATTAAAACCTGCTAGTAATGCCCACTATTTTAATTTAGGATAATTTGTTAGAATTCCTAAGTTTAACTTTCTGAAAACAGGGTTTTTTGGGATTATTTATAATCAGAAAACTTTGGTTTTCTCTCATAATTCTAACAGCTGATGTCTAAGCACTTTAAAAAAGTATAGAAACATTTTCCTATGAATAAGAATAAAAGAAGAAAACTCCAAACTCCTAGGATCAGCTGCTTTAAAGGGGTTTTCATTTTCCAAGAGAAGAATTTTTTCAGTTTTATTTCAACCTGTTGACATTAAACAATTACTTTAAATGTGGGTCAGTATACTTTTTTAGTTTAGAGAGAGATCATCTTTGTATAAATCATGTGCATATTTTCCTAGGCTACCGCTTTTTTCTTATTTTTTATTTCTTTTTAACTTTTGGCTATACTAGGTCTCTGTTGCTGCATGTGGGCTTTCTTTAGTTGTGTCCAGGGAGGCTACTCTCTCATTGCAGTGCGTGGGCCTGTCATTGTAGTAGTTTCTTTTATTTTGGAGCATGGGCTGTAGGTGCATGGACTCGAGCATGTAGTTGTGGTGCACAGGCTTAGTTGCCCCACAGGGTGTGGAATCTTTCTGGACCAGGGATTGAACCCTTGTCCTCTGCATTGGCAGGCGGACTCTCAACCACTGGACCACCAGGGATGTCCTTTTCTTATTTTTTCTTTTTCGTTTTCAGCCACACTGCACAGCTTGCAGGACATCAGTTCTCCCACCAGGGGTTGAACCCTGTCCACAGGGATGAAAGCCCAGAATCCTAACCACTAGGTCACCAGGAAATTCCCTAGGATATAGATTTTAACATACCAGTTGATGATTACTAAGCCTGGGAAAGTAACCCATTAATTGTAGTTTTGAGTGTTACTGTTCTAAAATGGTGTTATACCTTCCTGTTTCATCTATTTATGATATGACCTATGAAGTAAAAGGACAGAGGAAGAGCATTATTTTCCGTTAGGATAAACAGAGGCATTAAACTCATTTAACATAAAGTATTAATGCAAATGTAAAATGCTGGTGTAAGTGTACTGAGTTGAAGTGTCAGTAAGAACATATAATTATGTACAGCATAATGCTTTGTTGGGGCAGTCTGTATTATTCATTAGAGGCTGCTTTCTTAACTAGAACAAAGAAGAACTTAACATAATCACCATTTTCATTAGCATTAATCGTGTTACCATTTTCTGGGATTTGGGGATCTTAAAAAGAGTCAGTGGCAATTTCCAATTATTATTATGTCTACTAATTGCACTGGCTTGAGTAGTCCCTTGATGGTAGACTTCCTTTCTGCTAAACACCTGTTTGGTGTGCACTTAACCAGGAGCACAGGAATGGTTTCTGCATGCTTTCCTTAAGCACTAAGAATTAAAATGTATGCCAGTAAAGTATGATACATCTATTATTGAAAAGGTATATTTAGTTATTGTAGCCATCACGAAAAGTGGTGGGTGAGTACCTAGTATATGCTTTATTGTTGGGAATTTTCATGAAACTCAAAAACTTTTTTTATTAAATCCAGAAATGTATCCACAGCTGATGAGGATTCAAAAGAGTATATCAGCTTTCAGTCACATGAAAATCACATGAAGGAATGCATCTTGTCCTTATTTGACCTACAAATGATAGTATCAACCTCACGACACAAATAAGAACCCATTTCCTTGAGGCACCTGGGTTCTTATCCAAATCAACTTGTGAGTGAATTAGATTTTAATGTGAGACTTCTTGAAATAATAATGAATGTTATGACTTACTGTAGTCTATCATCTCCTTTCAGATTTTCCTATGGATTCTAGTAATGGAAACTGTAGAGGAGCAAGCAGTGGTGAGTATACCACTATCTTTCTGGTTTTCACTGTGGTCAGACTAGTCTTGATGTTACCTAGATATTGAAATTATTTGGGGAAGTTTGTGCCTTGCATGGTCTTCCCTGATAGCTCAGTTGGTAAGGAATCCGCCTGCGGTGCAGGAGACCCCGGTTCTATTCCTGGGTTGGGAAGATCTGCTGGAGAAGGGAAAGGATACCCACTCCAGTATTCTGGCCTGGAGAATTCCATGGACTGTATAGTGCCCTACATATTAAATGGAAACTTATAAAAATGTTCCTTTGTTTGTATTAATTTTATTTTTAAAATTAGTGATAAAATTTGATCTTTTATTTCCATATACAGTTCTTTGAATTTTAACACATATTTGAATTTGTGTAACCACCAACACAATCAGGATACAGAAGAGTTCCATAACCTCAAAACAAACAAAAAACTCAGTTCAGCTCATCCTATTCCTTAATGATGACAAGCTTCTCCCACCCTTAACCTCTGGCGATCACGAATCTGTTTTTCATTGCTATGCTTTTGTCTTTTTGAGACTGTAGTGTGCATGGAATGATAGACTATGTAACTTTTGGACACTGGCCTCTTTCACACAGCAAAATGTCTGAGATTTATCTAAGTTTTTGCATGTATCAGTAGTCCATTCCATTTTGCTGCTAAACATTCTCTTACTTGGATGCATTACCATTTGCTTGTCCATTTATGTCTTAAAGGACATTTGGGTTGTTTCTAGTTTTTGGCAATCATAGATAGAGCTATTATAAACATTTGTGTATAGGTTTTTGTGTAAGTGTAAGTTTTCATTTTTCATTTAGGGTAAATATCTATGAATCGGATTATTGGGTTAAATGGTAAGGGTATGTTGAACTTTATAAAAAAACTGCCAAACTGTTTCCAAATGAGTATTCACTGTTACACTAGCAATACTTAAGAGTTCCAGTTGCTCTGCATCTAAGAATGACTCTAGTTGCATTTCACAAATTTTGAAAGGTTTTATTTTTATTTTTCTTCAATTCAAAATGTTTTATAATTTCCATTTAGACTACCTCTGTGACTTATGCATTATTTAGGATTGTGTTGTTAAATTTGGTGCTGTTTGGAGGTTTTTCTGTTCTTATGTTATTAATTTTTATTCTAAATTCCATTATGGTCAAAGAATATAATTTGTGTGATTTTAGTTTTTTTTATTTGTTAAGATTTATCATATGACCCAGGATATGATCTCTCGTGGTGAATGTTTCATGTGTCCTTGGGAAATACGTGTTCTGGCATTGTTGGATGGAATGTTCTTTAAATGTCAAGTAGATTAGTTGATTCTTGTTAGTCTTCTGTCTACTGTGTCTATTGATCACTGTGAGAGAAGTGTTTAAGTTTCCAAATATTGTAGATTTTTCTATTTCTCTTTTCAGTCTGTCAGTTTTGTTCCATGAAGTCAAATGTGATACTATTTGGTGTGTATACATTTAATATTTTTATGTCTTATTGGTGAATTGACCCAGTGATGTAATGTTCCTCTTTATCGTTGGTAATTTTTCTCTTTTTAAGTCTATTTTGTTTTATGTTAATATAGCTACTCCTGTTTTCTTTTGGTCAGTGTTTGTAAGGTGTATCTTTTTCTATTCTTTTTCTTCTAACATATCTATATCATTATCTTTTAAATAAATTTCCTCTAGACATAATGTAATTTGTTTTTAGGTTGGTGTTGGTTTTCTATCCATTCTGTCAATCTTTGTCTTTTGATTAGTATGTTTGGATTATTTACATCTGTTGTAATTATTAATATGTTTGCATTTATCACCTTTTTAAAATTTGTTTTATGTTTGCTCCCTCTCTTTTTCATTCCTGTTTCCTATTTGCTAGCTTTCTCTTGGGTTATTGAAATGTATCTCTCCCTCTTTCTCTTTCACCCTTGTGAACATGTGTATACACACACACAAACACATCCATGTATGTGTCTGTGTGATATATATATATATATCTTTCCATAAGACAATGTTATATTTTCTTTCAACCATTAATGTCTGTTTCAAACATTAAATATGTCTAAATAGCTCAAGAGGAGAAAAATGGCCTACTGTATTTATACAGATGTTTATAATTTCTATTGTTCCACCTTCTTTCCTGATGTTCTAGGCTTCCTTCTGGTATCATTTTCCTTGTGTCTGAAAAACTTCCTTTATACTTGGCTGCTGGCAGCCAATTCTATCAGTTTGCTTTCATATAAAAATGTCTTTATCTCATATTTATTCCTGAAGGATATTTTCACTGGATATAGAATTCATTTATACTATTTCATTTATTTCTGTCCTCAATGTTTCTCATGGGAAATTGGTTGTCATTGAAATCATTGTTCTCCTGTAAGTAATGCATCAGATTTCTCTGGCTGCTTTCAATAATTTTTTCTTTGTCTTTAGTTTTTAGCAGTTTGATTACAGTATATTTAGATGTTGATTTCTTTGGGTTTATACTATTCAGGGTTAACCTAACTTCTTGTATCTATAAGTTTATACCTTTTCTCAGATTTGGGGAACTTTCAGCAGTTATTTTTTCAAACAGTTACTTTTATAACACATTCTCTTCTACTTGTGAGTATATGGTTATATGAATTTTAGATCTTTTGGTATTTGCCATAGGTTCCAGAGGCTCTGTTCATTTTCCTCCAGTCTTCTTTAGATTGGATATTTTCTATTTGTATTCCTTCAGGTTTATTGACTTCTTCCTTGTTATCTCCATTCTGCTGTTGAACTCATCCAGTGTTATTTTCAATTTTCAGTTATAATTTTTAAAATTAAGATTTTTCTCTTGATTATTTATTTTTTTATTTTTATTTTTTAATTCTTTATTATATCTTGAGTTTCTTTGAGTCTTTCTATCATCTGCTTCATTTCAAGGGTGTTCACCATTTACTTTTTGGAGAATTTTTAGAAAACTGCCTAAAGTCATTGTTGGATAATTTCACCATTTGTGTCACCTGATTTTTTTCCCCCATACAACCTGAGATTTTCCTGGTTCTTCATATGCAGAATAGTTTTTTCTTATATCCTGGACATTTTGAATATTATGTCCTAAGACTTTGGGTCTTTAAGATCGTATGGAGAATGATGATATTTTTTTGTTCTAGCAGCAGTCGACCTAACTTGATTTAGGCTGCAAATTCTGACTAGTCTTCTGAAGGTTGGTTTCCGAAGGCATTTGTGGTGGCTTTCAGGTCTGTCTCATGTGTGTGCCATTCAGTGGCCAGCGTGAGATGAGGGCAGTGATTTATACCATAGTCCAGTTTTCAAAGTCTATCGTATTCTCTTTAGTGTCAGAGTCGCTCATGCCCAGGAGTGAGCCCAGCAGTTCATTAATATTTCCACGGGATCATTCCCAAGCTCCTCCCTCTCCGTAATTATCTCAGTACCCTTCACTTTTGGGGGGCTCCCCCTTTTGGTTCTTTGGCCAGAAACCTGGGGCTTTGTTTATCCCGCCTGTGACGTACTTCCTGTGACTCCTTGTATATCAGGGCCCGGTGGTCAGGACAGAGCCGCGGGGCTTGCCCCAGTCTTGATACCGGTCGGAAAGGAGGGTTCTCCCCCGCCAGCGTTCTAGGCGTCTGACGACTTCCCTTGCGGCAGCTGTTGCTGCCACCACTGCCCCAGGATTGCTGCAGATGGGGTGGAAGGGCTGGGTGTCAGCAGACCCCTTCCCACTTCCTGAGTTAGAACTGGAGGGCTTTTTCTGGAGGACTGTCTGCATGATACCTGCTTCCAGGCTGTGCTGAAACCAGGCGGGAAGGTACTAGAAGTGGAAAGGCTGACAGATGCACCTTCGGTTTGATGGTGCTGGGCTTCTTTCGCAAACTTCCTCCTACTGTTTCCTTTTCAGAGTCCTCGAGGAGCTGCTTCTCGGATTCTGTTTTATAACTGCGTTCAGTGGGGGAGAGGTGATGGAGGCTACTTACTCCCATCTTTCCATAAAATAAGCTCTTAAATGAAGTATAGCGTATGTGCAGAAACGGAGCACATCTAAACATGCAGCCCAGCGCATTTTCACCAAGTAAACACGCTTATGTAACCACTGCACAGATCAGGATGGGCACCATTGCCGGCACTCCTGAAACACTTCCTTGTGCCACCTCCAAGTCACTGATTCCAGCTTTCTTCCCAGAGGTAGCCTCTGGCAGAAGTTCTAGCAGCATAGAATAATTTTGTCTGATTTCAACTTTCGTGAGAGGCATCGTTTTATGTGTATGTATAGATAGTGTATCTATGTGCCTTCCTCTGTTCTTCACTATGCTGTCTATAGCAGAAGTTTCAAATTCTAATTACTGTATAGTATTCTATCATATGAATATACCACCCTTCATTTATTCATTCTAATGGCCCTGGAAATTTGCATTATTTCTAGGTTTTTTTCCCTCTCCTTTTTTTCCCTAAAAGTATGACTAATGTGTTTGTTTCTGCAAAAGCATTGTAACTACAACTAGTTCTTTTTTACTTTCTTGAAATGTAATTTGTACTGATTTGGTCTGTAAGTTGTCATATATGGAAGTGGAATCTTTATTAAGTTGTAGATAAGTTTGAAGCATCAATTTTCATTAAACTAGAATAGTTTCACAGTTGATTTCCACTGAATCTTATCAGAGTGACAAGTATTTGACATAAGGCAACATGCATCAAAGGTACCTCAAACAGTTAACTTTTAAAAACACAAGTGACTTAAAATGATTTATTTAGAATTATGTTGCTTTTGAATGCAACTGAGAGTGTTTATAGTGTCGTAAAATCAGCTGGAAATCACTGGTGTCCAATAGTGGTGCTATTTTAAGAATTACTCCTGTTATGGTTGCTCAAAACAAACTGGAAAGCTCATTTGTATTGTCTATAGTACACTTAGTGAGTCAAAATTTCAGGCCAAGTACATGCACGTTCTATCAATTTGTCTAGAACTTATGGTTAGAATAATATAGCACTTCAACGTGTGAAAGAGAGAAGACATTAATGGCACTATA